ACGTTACTCGAATTTAGTAAAAATGAAGGACGATATGGACTTCAATATATGTTTTGTATCATTGATTGAGGCTTTTCTAACTAGCACATAAAAGGTTTCTTTTTTCATTATATAAAATTCCTCAAAAATACTAAATCCACCATTCTTTTGTCTCTTTTTCCAAAAGGGGTGTTTTCAATAGCGACGCTTTGGATAATTTTGGTTCATATTGATTAGGTTTACAACTGCTAACAAATCTTCATCCTGTGAGGACGATATGTTTACGCCACTGCCACATCATTTATATGTGCACTTCCTGAAAAATCGTGCAACGCTATTGCCATATCATGGTGGGCGCCCTGCCTAAGTTACAAAGTATCGGCTATTGCATCTTTAATTATTGATCATGGTAGAAATCAACTTTTCGACTTACAACTATATCTGCTAGAGTAACTGCCCAGCAGACAATAATAATATGATTTTGCAAAGACAGTGACATTACGTAAATCATAAACACTATTTTATAGGTCTGATGACTAGAACCAAAAGCAAAAGCATGGTTTTAATGTAAAAAATAAGAAAAAGTTTCTTTTTCAAAGGCGAATATCTCCAAAAAAAATCGATTTAGATGAACCAAAAAAAGTTGCAAAATGAAGATAATTGCGAAAGAAGTAGTACCGTATGATCGAAAAAAACGCCGTCAGTGATGGATGAAATGAAGATCGCTGTCATTTTATCTGTAAAATTATATTATGGTGACTGTCATTGATGTTCATTTCCAAGCCAACTGGACGCCGTTTTTTTTCCGATTATACGGTATAAGCTTGCTTGAGAATTACCGTCTGAGAGTCAGGCTTGTCAAGCTTCACTGAACCAAAAGTTGACATAAAGATAATGAAAAATTTCTTTTAATATAATGAATTAAATCATTAATTTTGAGCCGATGAACGATTTCATTGGCACAATGAAAAGTAATTCATTAACTCTATGAACCTTAAGTTCATTAAATCAATGAACACTGTTCATTAATTTGAAAAACACATTTATTGATACTATGAACTACAACATTAGTTTAATGAATACTGGTTAATTGTTTTTATATATGGAGTCATTGTTTTAATGAACAGATTTCATTAACATATTGTACCTAAATCCTTATGTTAATGAACGGTATCATTAATACAATGAAATAATTTCATAACCTGTTTAGTCGTACATTTAAAAGTCGACACTATTAGTAATTTGTTTCTAATTTCAAGATTTTAATTTTATTATTAATTAAAAAAATAAAAATAAATTATTATATTATTTTAATTTTACTACCTAAAATAATTCTACTGTAAATAGGTTTCTATTTGAACAAGCCCCTAGCTACACAAAGGTTACAAAATTACCAACAGTGCCGACTTACTTATGGGCACAGTAAATTTTTCCATTAGAGCAATAAAGAACAAGTGCAATAAAATAATAATAATTTATTCAAACTTGATGTACCATATACAAGTTAAAAATTAGAAAAAAATCGAATCGACGAAGAGAATAGTAATGTTATTATTAATTTTAAGGCAAATTATAATAAGTTTAAGGTAAATTTAAGTTATAAGGTAAATTAATTTACCAGTCGATATCCTGAGGTATTTCTATAAAAAGGTCATTTCTTCATTATATTAGCTGTATCGTTAGAGTTGATAACGTCTAGACAAATTTGCAACAGGCCTTCTAAGTCGCATCAAGTGGGTCCGATGTTAAATAATTGTCGAATTTGAGTGCTTGAAGGCAGGTCTCAGCATCTTTTTCCGGCTCTAAAAGCGACGAAAAGTAATTAAAATGCCTAATATTAAAAGAACATTGAAATTTACCATAAGCAGTTTTATGCCTCGACTTGTTACTATGTTTTTCTTCTTTTTGTTTTTTATCTTCTGAAACATATTTGGAAACCGCTGTTTTAATGGAAATACCCGCACCAGAGATCTCACACTGCGGAATTTTATTTGACAACACAAAAAATTAACTACAATACAATAGGACTGCTATTTAAAATATTTAAAATATTGAAGAGAACACTTACCGCTATGAAACTAAAGCCTCACTGAGTAACACAACCACACAGATGTTATTAACGTGCCAAAGTAAGCGATCAAGATGGCGACGATTGAAATCCTAATATTTTATTCCTGATATCAATAATAACTGCGTACATTAATATAATATAGTTTGTTCCTTGTATTAATAACGTTGTTCATTGTCACAATGTACAACTCATTAATCAATGATTTAGTACATTAATATAATGAATATGTGTTCATTAAAGTTTCAGCATTAAAATAAAGAACGCATTCATTGGGACAATGAACGCGTTCTTTATATTAATGAAAAACTTTCATTAATTTAATAACCAGATATTCATTATATTGATGAAATTAGATTCATACTATTAATAAATCAGGCATCGATCTATAAATCATTAATATAATGAAAAAAAATACTGTCCCAATGAAACAACAGTTAATAATCAATGTTCATTAATATTATGAAGAATATTTTTTTTTCAGTGTTAAAATTGAATAATTGAATTTATCTACTATTCAATGCAATAGAGGAGAATTCGGCATGCTTGGCCAGAACTACCCCCTTTTTGGTAATAATAATTTTGTACGATACAATTTGTTAATTTAATAACATGGAAATTACTGGATTTAATGATCGGTCGTCATTATCTTTTCAAATGAACATTTTTATGGTTGAATTAAATTTAATATTTTTTGGTGATAAAACTTCAAAACGAAAGCCATTACTAAGCATCAATTTTTTCTCTATAAGCTCTATTAAACAGCGGAGCACTACTAACAAAAAACCGGTAGTTCGAAACAGGAAATTGAAATGTTCTGTTTTGTTCAATATCTTTCGCTGGAAAGTGGAAAACTAAGTAATCTATGAACTAAGAAATTTAAACTAGCCATTTTATGTTCAACACTATGATATGATTCATTAGGAATATATCTGCGTGTAGTGGTATTTTTCCTATAGATATCAAATTCCAGGCAATTATTATTATTTCTAATAACTAATACATCTAATAACTAATACATAAGAAATAAAATTATCTATGGTGTCTGAATGTGTGTCAAAAAGAGCAAAAATATCATCCACATAGGAAAATACTCAAACTGATTCCTAGCCTCCACTTCAAACCTGCTCATGAATAAATTAGCCAAAAATGGAGACAATGGATTACCCTTTGCTGTACCTTCCCGCTGTTAAAAAAGTTGTTATTAAATTGAAAACAATTTTGTTTCATACATAACGATGTAAGCTCAATATATTCAATCACAGTTTTGTTATCGAGACCATTTGCGTTCAGTAATTCCTTTAAGTAGCCTAAAGTATGTGAAATTGGAACACTTGGGAACAACGACAATACATCAAAGGAGACGAAAATTTCACCTTCATGCAATGTTATATCTTTAATTTTGTTAATGAATTCAATATTATTTTTAACTGAGAAAGAGGGTTCATGATCAGGTAAATTTTCGAACTCCCTTGATAGCCATTTTGCCAAGTTATAAGTCGGAGAACCTACAACCTTAGGCATAAAAGTACATAAAGCACATTTACGCCTAACCACAAAGTACAAAAATATACTATTAAACTGACATTAATTGTCAAATTCCAGTTCATTGTTGGTTGATTGTATAATTACTTACAAGGCATTATTTTTATATAATCTGCGACGGTTGAAATTGTCGATGTAAAAAATTGTTAGTGACATTTAAAAAAAAAGGATGTCCTATTCGGAGTAATTTTTAAGTGTCATTTTTAGTCCCAATAAAACGCAATACACTACTACCTCTGAATTAAAATGACAGACACCACACAGAATCACTATCATGACTCCCCTCGTTGAACAGGCTATAGATATAAATTAGAATGTTAGGTTATTTCCAATTAATCTTTCTTTATAAAATATTTTCCTCTTTCTGTCATTTACTGACAATCTGTTTATTTTAAATAGAAACTTCTATATATTTTTTGATTTTTCGATTCTACGTGAAATTCTAGGTATAATGTCATATACAGGGTGCTATAAATTCGAGGTACGAGCATTGGTATCTCGGTAACCGTAATAGATACGAACATGGTTAAATTGGGGCAAAGTTGCACTTTGTGATGTTCACCAAGGTGCCATCAAAAAAGTTTTAAAAATTTCAAGGATTGCTGAGTTTGAAAATCAATTTTATTTTTTCCTGTCGTTAATTTTTAGAAAACCAAAAAACTAATTGCACATTCTTATACCCACTTTATTAGGGTGTGAATTTATTTAAACTAATTTCAATTTTTTTTAAAATATTTAATCTATTCATTATTACAACATTGATAACATTTACAATAAAGAGTACAAAATGCATTAGGAAGTATAAAAAGAAAGTTCAAAGAGCTATAAATAAAATTGAACGAAAAATAAATTTGTGCAATAGGGAGAGTGGTAATCCTTACGTTCGAACATGCAGAGCATTAGAAACTAGTTTGTAGAATTTGATTTATTTATAATAACTAGGATTAATATTATGCATACTATTAGATCGCCCACAGAGATTACGTAGGAAGTAGAGTTTGACCCACTTCCGCTTCGAGTTGATGAGACGACCCGTGTGTGCACGGTCTAACTCAGACCAATTTATAAAAAAACTCGATTAGATTTTTTCAGTTACAGCTTTTTTTACCATATTTTAAAGCAATCCCTTGTCGCTCAAATTTTAACTATATTAATTTCATGCTATACGTTTCCATTGTACCAACTTATTCTTTTGAAAAATAAAACTTTGAAATTAAAGTGGCATGACACATCTATCACTGTCCAGGATTTTGTCGTTGGACATACTATACCTTGGTTATTATATTTTCTTAGTTTCACAAATATTAACGAAAATTGAAGTGACATATTTCCAATTGCCATAAAAATATCTTCTTACCAATAAAAAGTGTTTTCTTCTTATTTATTTTCTCGTGCATTTAATTTGTAGGACATCTGACCACAGAAGCGCTAATGTGGAACCAAAATAAGAACGAGCGTACGATATCGGGCATGACGTCAGAAGACTTCCGACATCGCTTGAACGACGTGCTGAGGAAGGAGGGATACGACATCGAAAACCAACGATATCCCGAAGGATACCAGGAAGCTCCGCTAGCCTATGACGCTGTTTGGTCCGTAGCATTAGGTATATAACCAAACTTCTAATTATTATAAAATCACGTTTTTTGTTGAAACGGTATTGATAAATAATCTATATCGTATGATCGAAAAAAAAACGGCATCAAAGACGGTTGAGGAATGACAAACTATGATGATTTTGGCGAGGCCAATCTCTAGATGTCATTTACTAAAAGTTGATATAAAACTTAATAAAATTAACACTAACTATAGAAAGATTAACCGTGAATGGAACGTTTCCAGACATTTATATTTCCAGTCTATTTCCAAAAATAATTTTTTTCTGGAATTTTAAACTACATTATTTAAAAATCATTTTTACTCCCTTTTTACCCCCGAAATTACAACCTTCTTAAGGCCAGCTGGCAGAAAGCGTAATTAAAAAATAAAGAAGAGTCAAGTAAGTTACGTCTAGGGCTTGACCCCTGGCTTGACCTCACCAAAGTAATAATTTTGTCATTCCCAACTGTCTTTGACGCCTTTTTTTTTCGATCTTGTTATTATTTATTCTTACATTACAAGTCAAGTTAAAAACAAACAACTGTTTGTGATTTTTTTCGAAATCTATGAATTATACAGGGTGAGTGCAAATATTTTCGGGGGTGGTAGATCTCGATAATTGAAACATATTTTCCCTTTACCGTTTTACAAATAAGTCGAAAATAACTGAGTTATTCTACTTTGAAAATTTCCAAAAAAAAATATTTTTTGCTTAAATTTTAAGAACCACTGGATCTTTTCGGTGTTTTCTTTCTTGTATATTTAATCTACTACCTTAGTATATTTCCATATTTACGAGAAATTATGTTTTTTAAATTTCCAATTTTTTTGGCGCAAAAAAAACCTTATGATCGTGTTTCTGGGGCCGAAATATACAACCCCTAAAATCATTTCCTCTTATTTAAGACTCCCCCTGTATGTAGAAAATGTTTTCGCCTGCTGTTTAGAAATTCATTTTGTTTTAAATTTGGAGCAAAATTAAAAATAATGTCACGCTTCTAAATTTATATGCCCTAAGAACGTTCTTGCAATGAGTTTAAAGAACAATTCAGTTCTTGAAAACAAAATAGTCTCATATGCTCCATTAATACAGTAATTTAGTGTCCTAGATATATCTATAAAACTTTAATAGGATATAAATGTTCTATTAGCTTAAATTTATAGAACAACTTTGTTAGCTGGGTGGTGGTTCTCAAAATTTAAACAAAATACCATTTTTATTAATCTTTGAAGTAAAATAACTCGGTTATTTTGGGTTTATATATGTGTTTCTTTTATCGAGTGCATATATATTGTGCACATACTTCCAGGGTTGGTAGATCCCTGAAAGGTATTTGCACATGTTTAAGACTTACCCTGTAGAGTAATTTTAAATAAGGGAGGACATTTTTAAATTTACCCGTCTTTAGTGATTGGCTAAAATAAATGTGAAAAACAAAATAAAATATCTAAAAAAAATTGAAAAAAATGTCGGAAGTAACATCTACGTATTTCAAAATTAGTCAAAATTAGTATTTCAAAATTATTTTTCGATATTATAAAACAGTAAGGCGAAATAAGTACATACTTTTAAAATTGGGGTGTAAGGGGTATTGAAGCGATCCATATAGCCTAGCTTACCCAAAAGTTAACCTCACTTTCACGTGGTGCACTCTTTTACACAAACGAGGCTCTGACGTCCGAGTATAGGCGGAATAACGCTATACAACCCTCAGACCTACCATCTTTCTGGGGAAGAGGAGAAGTAGACTACTCCTACCTGGCCGAGAACGTAACACAAGGGAACTATCGTCTCAGTCCTCACTGTGCCATAGCCATCCCGTGCTACAGTTGTAGCCAAACTGTGCGGCAGCGTAACCGCCACAGTGGTACCCTTTTACGCAGCTAACACTCATAAAAGATGGAACATTTGAGTGGGACAAAATCATCGTCCGGCGGTAAAATACCCCCTCGATCGGATCTCCGGGATGGGGTGCCTACTCGAGCGTATCATCGGAGAACTAAGCAGCGTCAATGTTTTACGTTTGCGGCGTGGAACTATGTATAGATGTTGCCGCTCTTAGCGAAACCCGCTTTGAAGATGAAGGTAGTCTGACTGAGGAGCATTACACCTTCTTTTGGAAGGGTCACCCTGCCACACACAATAGAATTCATGGCGTAGGCATTGCAGTTAAAAACGAAATCGCCGCCAGTTTAATAGAAGTGCCCATTGGAGTCTCCGAACGTCTCATGACCCTAAGGTACCCCATATCAGATAAAACTTACGGCAATATCATTAGTGTATACGCTCCCACCCTAGACGCTAAGGTTGAGGATAAGGAGAAATTTTACCAAGATCTACAAAATGTTTTCCAACGAATTCCAAGGCAGAAGCGAATCATCTTGCTAGGTGATTTTAATCCCCGGGTCGGCAATCAGCAAGAAATATGGCCAGACGTATTGGGAAAACATGGAATAGGAAACGTAAATAGCAATGGTGAACGCTTGCTAACAACATGCACAAAGTACAATCTTTGCATCACCAATACATGGTTCAAGCTGAAAGATAAGTTTAAAGGTACCTGGAAACATCCCAGATCAAGCCACTGGCATCAATTGGACCACGTCACCGTTCGAAGGAAGCATCTGAAAGATGTCAGACTTACCAAAGCCAGAGTAGATGCCGAATGTGGTACTGACCACCGACTTGTAGTTTCGAATATGAAACTTCAATTAAAACCCAAACATCCACACTGTAAAAAGCAAAACAACATGACCAGATTGAACGTACGGAGTCTAACGAACAACGACACCACCAACGCCCTCCGGGAAGCCATCAGAGAAGCACTTCCACCGATAACATCAATCTCGGAAGCTGAACAAGGCTGGACACAATTGAGGGATGCGATTTATAATACCAGCGAAGAAGTACTGGGAAAATCCAAAAAAAAGAAACAACCAGACTGGTTTAACGAGAATCAACCACATATACAGGCTTTGTTGGAACAAAAGCATAGAGCACATCAAGCGGTCACTGCAAATCCATACAACCCAAGGCTGGTGGACAACTTTAAAGCAGCCAACAACACACTTCGAAGAAGCCTGCGCCAACTAAAGGATAACTGGTGGTCACAAAAAGCAAATCAGAATCAAGAGTACGCCGCGCATCACGACTATCGTAAATTCTTCGAGGCTGTAAAAGAAGTGTACGGCCCAACTAAGAACGTAACCTGCCCAATCAAGGCACAAAACGGTGAACTTCTAAAAGAGGAAGAGCAAATCAGAAATCGCTGGAAAGAGCATTACAGCCATATCCTTAACCAAGACAACATCCCCAATATGCAAGCACTAAACACAATACCTCAGTATAACAGCATCGATGTATTAGATATCCCAATAACGGAACAAGAAATACAGGCCTCCATAAAACAACTAAAAAACAACAAATCGGCTGGCTGTGACGCAATTCCAGCGGAAATCTATAAGTATGCAAGTAAAGAACTTATTGGTCATCTTCAGGCTCTCTTCGATGTCATGTGGCAAAGCGGAAAGGTACCCCAGGACTTTTGCAACGCGAATATAGTGAATATATTTAAGAACAAAGGAAGTGCATCAGATTGCGGAAACTACAGAGGAATTTCACTACTGATTATCGGAGGAAAAGTTCTCGCAAAAATTATGTCAAACCGCCTTCACCCACATATAGAAAAAATCCTCCCAGAATCGCCAACGGGCTTTCGCACCAACCGTGGTACCGTTGATTCCATATTTTCTGTCCGACAATTACAGGAAAAAGCAAAGGAACAGCAGAGTAAACTTTATGTTGCATTCATCGACCTCACGAAAGCCTTCGACTCTGTAAACAGAGATGCACTTTGGGCAATTATGCAAAAGTTCGGACTGCCCAATAAATTTCTTACTGTGTGTAAAAGCCTCCATAACAACAAGTCGAGAGTGTCACATCATGGATCACTGAGCGATCACTTCCTGACAAATACAGGAGTTAGGCAGGGATGTGTCCTAGCTCCTCTCCTATTCAACATATTCATGGCAGCGCTCTCTATTATAGTGGACAGCAAACTGCTGGAAAGGGGAATGGGTGTTAGATACGTTCTAAGTATGACGGCGGTCTGTTCAACATAAAAAGACTCAGGGCAAAAACACGTATAAAATTTATCACAGAACTCCAATACGCTGATGACTGCGCTCTAGTTGCAAATACATTACAGCAATTACAGGAAATGCTGAACACATATACCTGGGCATACGAGACTTTGGGCCTTAAACTGAACATCGATAAAACAAAAATCATGTGCACTCCCCCCGAAAATCATAACAGCGCTGTAAAAATCGGAGAAGAATTACTGGAATATGTATGGGAATTTAATTACCTCGGCAGTTTGATTTCGGAAAAGGCAAATATCGACTCTGAAATTCAGCACAGAATCAGCAGCGCCTCAATAGCATTCTGGCAATTAAAAGACAGGCTTTTCTACAATCATGACTTGAGCACAAAAACGAAACTTGCAGTGTATCGAGCAGTAATAATCCCCACCATGTTATATGGAAGCGAAACCTGGGTGCCGTACCGCCGGCATACGAGCTCATTAAACAAGTTGCAGCAGAGACACCTTAGACAACTGTTAAGAATCAAATGGTACCACCACGTCTCAAACGTATCCGTCCTTGAAAAAGCAAGCTGCGAGAGTGCTGAAGTCATGATTACTAAATCTCGCTTAAGATGGGCTGGCCACGTATGCAGGATGCAAGAAAACCTCCTACCGAAATCTCTTCTTTACGGTGAACTTGTAGAGGGTAAGACGAAACCGGGTGGTCAACTCAAAAGATACAAGGATGTTTTTAATAAAAACTTAAAGGGGATAAGTATGCAGCATCATTGGGAGGAAGCAGCGCACAATAGAACGCAATGGAGGAGAATCGTAAATTCAGTTAATAGCGACAACCAAAAAGTAAAGAGGCAACAAAGTAATGAGATTTTTGAATGTCCAGAGTGCGGAAGAGAGATAACATCACGTATTGGGCTTTTCAGTCACAGAAAAGCTCATGACAGGAAACGCCGTGCGTAACCATCTTCTGATGCGTGTCAAATACTCGTCAGCGAGTAATGGCAGATGATGATGATGAGGTGATGATGATGATGACTTTTAAAATTGCACAAGAGATAAAAAAATGTATTGTTCCAAATATTTGTGCACAGCAACAAGAGTGCAATTTTAATCAACTAGACCAGCACATAATATTATAATGTTAGTATCACAGAATTGTTTAAATTTTGAAAGTGACACATCATCTTTATTTCCATTTCTCTTACCTACTTCCATCACATATCGTTTTTCTCAATTCACTTGCTACTACTCTTCCTGTAGCCTCGTTAAGTTTTGGTAAAATACCAATTTTAAAATAATCTTCATTGTCCTCACTTTTTGACAACATTTTGCTTTTGTTAGTTATACAGATTCCAAATAAAGAATAAGAAATTCAAAATTTATATGCAAAACAAATATTAAATTAAAAAGAAATATTAAACTTCTGAGAAAAAAATTGCTGTCTCGAGCGTTAGTAACCAAACACTTCCCTACTCGGTATGTAATGTTCTCTATAAAATACATTTTAGTTTTATAACATGATGATTGATCGATGTTTACAGCCCAATAACTCTCACTTTACTAGAAACGAGTACTCGTCGGCGCGGCGTTTATATTGGGTTAGTTTAATGCAAATATAAACAAGTCTAAGAACTTTTATTTTCCTGAGTAAACAAAGAGGTCTTGATGAAAACTAATCAAATTTCTCTAAATTGAAAAAGGCAGCCGGGAAAACACATTCCGTTGCCACGAAACAAGATCCAATTTTTTCTCGGGGCCAACTTGATGCTAAACAGAACGAATACAAAGCCTGAAGTAATTGTTTCTGTTTCAGCCTTTAATAAGACGATGGACCGTCTGCACAAATATGGAAAAAGTTTGAAGGACTTCAATTACAATAATAAAGAGATCGCAGACGACATCTATTCAGCTATTAATTCTACGCAGTTTTTAGGAGTTTCTGTAAGTATAATAATTTAGTAATTTATATATATAGGGTGACACGTGTAGGTTAGACGTTTATGCAGAACGGGTGGTTTGAGCAATTTTGATTTTGTATAATGTTAAAGGCACTTACCAAAACATAATTACCTAAAATCTCATTCAAATCGGAATAACGGTTTTTAAAATATCCGAAAAAATGTGTTTATTTTTTTAAAGTTTTACGCCCACTAACAGATAAACGAAGCACTTTTGTATAGAGGTAAATTAAATAATTAAAATTCATCAAAATTTTAAGGTGCCCGTTTTTCGTGCCGGTGGGTGTATTTCAAGTAAATATACCCACCAAGCGAGAAACCTCACATTACATTTGCAACATTGCAGACAATCCCCAAACAGCTTGCTTTGTAATGTTGATTTGTAAACGTTTTGCATGATTGATGAAATTTTGCTACAGAAATATTGTTTTTGAAAGGCGATAAAAACGTTTTTTCTGCAACATTGTAACAAAGATTCAAATGAAAGATCCGCGCAAGTTCATGTTCATACCTTATGATCGAAAAAATACGGCGTCCAGCTGTAATTACCCATATAATTTTACATATAAAATGACAGCGATCTTCAATTCATAGCCATCGCTGACGCCGTATTTTTTATCATAAAGTCATAAATAAAGTTAGGTTAGGTTAACGTTAAACTTGTTTTTGACGTGTTGTGACGACTTTTCTGTCGTTACCCAAATAGAATGAAAAAAGAATCCGTTGCTCAGGGTTAGAGGAAAGCTGGGTTCGTAGGTAAGGCTTCTGACTCACAGTGACTTTCTAATGTTGTTAAAAAAAATGATAATATGTAGGCTCCAGAGATTTTAATATTGATGTTAAGAATTCAAATAGGTATGGTCAAAGACAGTGAAAAGGGCGCCACTTACTTTGTTTATGAGAGTGGTAAAGTAAGAAACCCAAAAGAAAAATATGATATCACAACATAGCTAAGATAAAGTAATCACCAGCATTAAGGGTCTATTATGTTTATCAGGAATAAAAGTCAGAAATAACTATCCTACATTAAACATGAATTTTTTGAAATTTATGTATGTCTCAATACGATGATGTTTCGAAACATGTCGTGTACAAAAACCTTTAAAATGAATATGTGTTAATAATTTTCATATAAAATATCATAGCTAAGTAAGAGTGTACTGTACGAATCAAATTATAACTTATAACGTTAAATAAAAAATAATTTTGACTACAATATGTGGGATAAATAGTGATAATTTACCAGGTTATTAAATCTGTTGTCTCAAAAATTATAAAATAAAAGCGTACCTTGTGTATCAAACTTAAGAGAGACTTATCTGTATATAGTTTCTTATGATGTAAACAGGTAGGTAGGTATTCTCCAGACTAACAGAAGTGGGTGCAGATGACTATGGCAGGATAAGTCTTCGATATCAGCCAAAAGAACGACTGTAATGTCAGGAACACTGTCTTAAGGTCTGCATAGGTCCATACAAAATGAAAGTGGATGAAACATACAATAATTACGGCATACCATGTGGTAATTACTGAGTACCATGTGGTAGTTACTGAGTACCATGTGGTAGTTACTTAATATCATGTGGTAGTTACTCTATAAATAAAAAAATAGTTCTCAGGACAGATACTCAATAAAAGAAACAACTTACGGTCTGAAAATCAGCTTTACATAAATATATTCAAACCATATACCGATCCAAACCAGTAATTAAATACTCAAATAAACGAAATAACAAACGGAAATAACTGAAATAGAATTTAGTTAGATAGGGCTATATAAAATGGCGGATAAACTTACGGTGATCATTCCAAGAAGAAACCAAACAAATACGATCTATACTCTGGATTGCATACTTTACAAGGTTTTCAAATTTCCAAATCGGATATCCATGCAATCGAAATCGAAAAGTGGATGCAGAGTGCTTTTCACTGGAAAATTTGTCGGACGCCGAAACACGCGTCTCCTTCAGATCCAAATTCCCAGAAAAAAAAAAAAAAGACCTTCTTCTCAGTTCTCAGTTTCGAACTGTCATAAATGAAGTTTGACATCTAGCGAATAGATGCGCTAATAAAAATTAAATATCCGGACAAGTGAAATGCAATTAAGGAAGTTTGGCATATAGCGAATAGATGGCGCTAATAAACAAGACAAGTAAACTGTAAGAAATGAAATTTGATATCTTTGGCATCTAGCAAATAGATGGCGCCAATACTAAGAAATTTAAATAAAAATAGATTTTTAAATTCAATTTTATTAAAGGGAATAAAAAATGCTACAGTGTTTTGTATCACGTTCTATGCTTTTTGAATGAGATTTTGATGAATATAAATGTAAGTAAACAAACCAAGAGTAATGATATATAAAACAACCCCAGAGTTAGTAAGTAAACAAAGCAAAACCAAAGCAAGAGAAATGATATATAAAACAACCCCAGAGTTTCCAACTGGCACAGGAGTACGATAAGGAGACGCGACCGGTACTCGGTACGGTAACGCTTCTGCGCAGTGGAGAAAAAGGGTTCCAACCATAAGAGAATCGTTTAGTGAACGATAACTTTCGTTGGGTTCCAACAAGACATGATACAATAACGGAAGATAAGATCCTTGGCGGTCGCAAATGGCGGTCAATCCTTGGCGGTCCGCGCGCATGACATCACTCCGGTAGTAATTTTCTGTTAAGCTCCGCCAATTACATGCGCAATATCTTCTCTCAGAAGATATTGCAACTAACCGTTCTTTTATCATGCCAACAAGAGTTGTTACCGTTAGTGAATCGATTCCGGGACCGTAATTTCGATACCAGCCTGAAAGCAAGAATTATAGGGACTGACCTGCGCATTAAGAGTGTGTCAGCAGATTATTGATTTTTTCTGAACTTTAAATTCCTTTAGCCATTTCTCTTTTTAATTTGGACAGTTTTAATCTGTTGTTTTGACGACCTTTTGAATGTTACAGTTTTATTTGATGTTTATCGTGCACTTATTTTAAATATTCCTCTATTTTTGAACTATGATGAGTGACGAAGGGGACAGTGATATCAAGTCTTTGTTGGATACCAGCGAAAATGATTTGAACGAATGATTCAAACGTACAAATATAAATAAATCTCCCTCCCAATTTATTAATTGTCTTATAGTGTATAGTTCAAGCAGATAAATACACTACGATCGAGAAAAAACGGCGTCCAGTTGGCTTGGAAATGATGATCATTCTCCATATAATTTTACATATAAAACTGACAGCGATCGTTATTTCATAGCCATCGTTAACGCCGTTTTTTTTTCGATCATACGGTATATTACTCATTTTGAATCCCTTAGATAATAAAAATCATATAAAAACATCTATCTAATCCTTAGATCTAACCAATAACAATAACCAAAATATATGGTTATGAATTGGATTCCAGCGTAAGGCGCCACAGCGGCCAGAGCGAATTCTAAAATCGGTTCCCAAACCGTTCCAACTGCATTTAATTTTGGTATCGTAACAGAACTGTCCAAGTCGACACTTGCGTACAAATTCGATCCCGGCGATACCAATAACCGCTCTAGAACGGTCCTAATTTCTGCGTTGGAACAAAGCTATAATTAAAAATCTTTGTTGTAGTCATACCGGAAATGACTACAACTATTGATTTTTAAATGGCACCTTCGATTTTTCTTTACTTTTTTTTGATGACACTTCGAATGGAACAACTTTGTAATGTTTTGACATTTTCTTATATGGCTTATTTGAAATTGCAACATGCGATTCATAACGACAATTTGACTCGAAACACCAAGCGTGTGGTACCAAATTATTCGTAAAAAAATGCTTTTTAGAAACATGCTAATGAGCCACCCTCGTTCAATTTGAAAAAATTGAGATCTGATTAAAAATACGATTTGGTCATATTTTAACCGGCCAGAATAAGACGCGAAAGTCATTAGATGATCAAATCTATTTTCCAAGGCCTTATGATTAAAAATTAGTATTTTTTAACGCAGCCATGGCACTCTAGATTGAAATTTAAAATACGATTTTTTTAAAGCAGAAATGTCAAAACTAGACTTGTGATATGTCATTCTATTCAGAGTGGTCATTTTCTATCAAATAAAGTAAAAAAATACCGAGGATGCAATTTAAAAATCAAAAGTTGTAGTCATTTACGGTGAGACAGAAAGTGACCGAAAACAATAATTGAATACGTCAATAAATCCTAATTTGTGTCGTATACTAACATACCAAATCTCGTTTTTTTATCTGAAAAAAAAAATAAAAAAGTTATAGGGGTGAGTCACTTTTGAGAAGCACCCGGTATAGTACAAATTTAC